CACAAATGAGCACAGTCATGGTATGATGTGGACAGCGAAGGAAAAGCCTGAGTGCTCAGAGCTCGGTTCCCGCAGATACCCTTGGCCTTCGCCGCGCCCTCAACGAGTACTTTCTCCATCATCCGTGCATTTAGAACGTGCTACTTTACAGCTGGCTCAATGTGGCACCTCTAAAGTTTGTCACCACTGGATTTGTTGCGACAATTTGACGGAAAAGTTATGCTCCCAATGTCTACTCAATGCGGGCGAGCACATTGCGAACACTTCATACCCACTGCCCCCCACATTTACAACTTTGCGTTCGAGTATGTGCTGCTTTTCAGAATCAAGCGCTATTTATGCTGATTTCATTACCGTGTTTGACCATAAAATTGATCATTTGCATTCTTATTTATTTATTTTAATGGAAATTTTGTTTTCAGATGAGACCATATTGAAAGTCAGCCGACGTCTTGCAACGAATTGTGCTAATCTCTTCACGGCTTTCTATGTGGCTATTAATACGATGAAAATGTGAAACGACTCGGATTGTACATATATTTTTTTTCTCATTTTGACCTTGTCACATGACGTTTCAGTTGCTCGCAGGCTTGGGGAATAACAATGTAGACCAACTTATTTTGAGACAGACCTGATAAAAAAAGATGACCAATGCTGCATGTCGACCTCTATTCTTATTCTAGTATAGTCAGAATTTAAGGAACGGGCGCCATTATCCAATTAACATTTTAAGACTAACAAAGTATTCATTGTTACATTCAATATAATGTTATCATTTCTATAAACATTGAATGTTTTTTTTAATGTATCTATTTTATTTATTTATTTATTTTTTTACACAATACGTTGAAAGTCTTTGGTATGCAGTGTATTGTGCAAGCTGAGTTGGACGATACCATTTATGTGTGTCGAATGGACTGGCCTAACACGTGCGCCGCCTCTCTCGTTAACAATCCGCTTGGCTTCAGTTCGGAGCCTCGTATGCCGGATTGGTGTAGGAGAAGCCCATGAAGTCATCTTGGTCCAGGTTCATGATGACCAGCTTGTCTGTGGGCGTCAGGTCCACCGCCATCTTGGTGAACTCTTTGTCAAAGTTGCACGTGTCCCGACGGGTTTTCTGCAGGGCGACATGAGGAAGACAGGACGACAGGATGTGGAGGGGAAAGTGAATGTGGACCAAAACGTGAGGAAACGATGGGATGAGCGGAAAGGGAAGGAGGAAGGAAAGTGGACAATTCATTAGGCACACCTGCACCCTCTCAAGAGATTGTGAGAAGCTATAATCATAAATGTTGTGAGAACTACGGTAGTGTGGATTTTCCATGCATGCATAGCACGTTCTGGGCCAAGAATATCCTGATAACAATTGATACTAAATGTTTCAGTGAACAGATCAAGCGTATTTTGCATGTGCAAATTTTGCACCTGTGTCAAGGTGCCCCCTGACCTCTGGGTGACTTTTGTTCCTTATGTTTGAATGATTGGATAATGACTAAAAAGCTGGATAACCCCAAAGGAGACTTATAATAAATGGGAAAGAGAGGTGTATACACATGGAGAACCATTTTTTAGTTTTCTGACCTTAAAATGAATAATTAGCATAGTACAATGGTATGTACTGGAGACCCTGGATGAGCAGATATATTTGGTGGACTGCTCATATGGTCCAAATGTTAGCCAGGGTGATAAAGCTGCTGTTGCACTTACAGAAATGCCGGTGCGCAGCAAACTGATGAAACAGTACTCATTCAAAAGACGTGATTTTAAAAACTAATATTAAGCATGCGCATTCATTCATTGGCTTGACTTCCTCAGCTTTTAAGTATGTAGAGCCAGTTCCGTTTCAGTCATCTTGAATTCACTTTATATTGGATGTCGAGTAAATTATGAATGAATGAATGAATAAAAAAAAAACCTAATATATAACCTAAGGGGTGGGCGGTTGTGTAAAAAAAAAAACATTGCTCGAACGCAAAGCATGCTTTAGTAACAATATTTCATATCGCTGGCATTGGGCACAACGTATAGTGACAGACAGAACAATTACCCTGTGTATCCATTTGGCTTTCAGATCACAGGCCATTTGCTTTGTTGTCAACTAAACAGATTTGACACTAAGTCAATTTGTGACTAACATTGAGTTACCATCACCCTGATTTCAGTATTTAGGCTTTTTGGTTTTTTTGTTTGGTAGCGTGCCGTAACTATTATAAATACGTACCTTGGCTCATTTAAAGTTGGGAAACCTGACCTAAAACATTGTCTGTAGAGTCGACAGAGGTTCAAATATGCCCAAATCCGGTCCTCGAAATCCGCTAACCTGCCCGTTTTAGATTTGTCCCTCCTCCATCACACCTGATTCACAAGCTCAGCTCATCAGCGAGATTTCAGAAGCCCGATGAAAATGACACGACGGTGCCTACGGGGTTCAGGGAACGATTGTTACGGTTCACCTGTTTTTCTGGACTTTGTCACGTGACATTCGCAAACTGAGCCCTCAGGCATTGTGATGTCATTTTCATTTCGACGGCAAGTGGCGATACAAAAGCAAAATGGCCGCCCCATCTCGTGTAGCGTGACAGGCAAAAATAAATACATTTGCATGTCACAGAAAATGGTTGATGTGATAACATGAACATGAAACGTGTCTTCAGAATGGCTGTAAATAAATGACTTCTATCTGTATGTTCGAAAGAATATGTCAGCTCATCAATTTATTGTCATTCCATTCCTCTAAAGCAAGGACTTTAAAAAAGCGTACATGCACGCTCTCAAACACACACACACACACACACACACACACACACACACACACACACACACACACACAGCTGGCAGCCATGTAGGGCAGCTCCTAATGTGTTCCGTCTGAGCACGTTTGAATGTCGCTTAATGCTGTGAGGCAGAAAGACGGAGATATGAGAGGAGGAAGAAGAGCGGAGAAGAGAAGAGATAAACATCAGCGGCCTTTGGAGGAGATGTGGCGATAGGACGCACATACAAACCACAGGCTCACAGGATTATTACACCGAGAGTCATTACTTCAAGCCGTCCTTCTACTACTTCCTGCCTCCCACCATCACTTTCCAGGAAGCAGAGGATTAGCAGCAAGTGTGTGTGTGTGTGTGTGTGTGTGTGGTGGTGGGGCGGGGGGCTGTGAGGAGAGGAGGGTGAATGAAAGGCGGGTATCGAACGCTGACCTGTTTTGGGCTGATAAGCGCTGGCTGCATTGTGCCGAAGCCACTGGCTTTCATTTTTTTTTTAGGGCGGCAACATTTGGAATTAATTATCAGACGCGCCCGGGCACTGCGGCGGCTTACCGTGTACACCAGCTATTACATGCACGCCAATACAAACTTTAGACAGCATTCTCTCCTACCGTATTTCTGTTCAAAATCATTTGCATTAAGTGCAGATGCCGCACAATGAATGACAAAATGACTTTTTTTTTGCCCCCACCCACCCCTAAACATCATCAGAAACACGAACCTTCATTCACAAGTTACTTTCCAATAATTGTTCTCTGAAATTGTATTCATTTATACCCAAAAGTGGATTCTCTAAATTTCAGAAAATGTATGAGGCACAGTTGCAGTTTTATTGCAATTTTGCATTTTCTATAATTGTGATCACGAGGGTACGTCGAGGTGCATCCGGTTGCGGACTTCCCCACGGATGGGCCATGTAGGCTACCGGATGCATGGCCCGCTATGAGGTATAAAGAGCTACTGCCACAGGTTATCCCTTTGTGATAACATTTTCTGCTGCAACAAAGAGCACATAGCAAGACTTGTTAGCTTAGCTGGCAAACAATATGGAGAGTAACTAAACCTGATCATAATGAGCAAACAATTGCTTAAGAATATTTCACAAGCAAGACAAGTGCATACCTTACCTGGGAGAAGACGAGAAACGTGTCTTATCCAGAACCTGAATTTATCTGTCTTGTTTTTGGAAAGGGATGTGATGTATTGAGGCAGGGATTTCATGGTTACAGTCTGCTTTGCTAACTCAAGGACTGGAAGCACGGACATCATTGACGGAGAAATTAATTTCAAAGTTCTTCAAAACATTTTTAGGAGAGGCTAGGACCATTTTCGCCCCTACAATTGAAGATGGTCACATCGACAAAAGTAAATCAACAAGAGGAAGACTTAAAAAAAAAAGAAAATACTACAATAAGATGTGCTCAGAGACTGACGCACACCAGATTCTAACACTGTTAAATGAAATATTTATCTGACGTTGCTAGCTTTGCTTGTACTAACAACATGGCTGCAAATAGAGAGGAGCTGCTTTACAAAAGCGAGGTCAAGACTTGCCAATTTTGAGATTTGTTCGCTATACTTTCCAACTGCTCGAGCGCACCTTTTTTTTTTTTCCCAAACAAGTGAGTTTAATTCCTGTTCAGAAACAGATGAGCCAAATCCTTTTCACCTATTTTTCTTATGTCATGAATATTATAGATGGACATGAAACAAACAAAAAAAAAATCATCTTAACATAATTCATTCCAAACTATTTTTTTGTAGCTCGCTCGAGCAGCCTTTCAACCGGCGACCGACTTTAGCGGCTCAGCAGGCTTGTGTGTATGTAGGCCGTGTTGTGCATGTTATTTCCTTGAAGTCATCAAACCTGCGCTTGCCCCATCAAGGAAAGGCTCTTATGATAAGTGGCAGCCATGAAATATGCACAGGCTGTCGTAGCCGCCTGCCTCGCATGGTTGGCCGCTCCCTCGCCTCCCTCCCTCCCTCCCTCTCGGCGCCCTCCTTCATTGTTGCATTCCTCCTCCCTGCTTCTTCTTCTTCTTCATCTCTTCCCCTTCCTCTCGCCAGTCTACTCCCCATCTGTCAGCCTCCATCACTCTAATCTCGCTCCACCACCGCATGTTGCACCACTTCAATAAATACAGATAGAGAAGAAGCATCAACGCCGCCGACCGCTATGAAAGCACACGACAACCCCCTGCACACAAACTCTTTTTTGTTTGTTTGTGTGTGTTTTTTATTGCAAGCCTTGTGTTGTAAAATCATAGAAATTTGGCACACGGACAACATTGTAAAAAGCCTTTTCTTCCCACATCGTTTGCACACCAAAGAGCTTGGTTCATTCAACATTTGAAGCACAAAAACACGAAGCCTCCTAAGGGGTTACATGGAAATACTGTAAACGCTCAATGATTAAACATCTTTTTTTTCATGCAGGAATATATATATATACATATTTTTTTGTGTAATACAAACACACCTTTACGACGTAGAGCGCACATTTCTATGCATTTGTTAACTCTGACACTGCTTGCTCTCCGTTTTAATACAGCGAAGGACTTTCGACAATAAATAAACAACAATGGAGGTGCATTGTGGTGCTTTTTAGCCGCATCGAGGGATCACACAATTATTTACACGTTCATATTAATGGGCAGGGAAGGTGATAGTAGCAACTCAATATATTTGAGGATTTTAATAATGAAAGAAAATCAGTCCACATGATCACTGAATATTTTGGTACTTTAAACCGACGAGCCACAACACGATTAGCAATTGCGCAGTCCACTTGGATGTGTCCAGTACTTTAGTTGAACTCTATCATAATTTTTTTCCAAAATGACAAAGCACTAAGAAAGTCGTATTAAAGAGATGACTGACCAGTAGGTGCCATTTGAATATTTTTGAGAGATATTAATATTTTCCTCTAATATTGTACGCAAGTGTCAAGGATCATGCTGGAGCAGTGGTTCTCAACTGTTATCATATAATCTACTTTTATAGACAGGAGCCATCAATAAAATTTATGGATTATATTTTTAAGCATAATTACGCAACATGCTTAATTGTTCAAAGGCCAGTCGGAGGGAAAGTCCGTTAAAGAAAACCCTTGTGAATAATTCATTATATTATTGAATAATCAGGCACAGATATGGACAGTTTAGCACCGGGCGATATGAGATGAAATAATTTCATAAGAATGAGTTGGTCGGGGGTTAAAAAGAGCAAAAGACAACCAATACGTGTTAAAAAGAACAAAAGGCAACCAATGCGTATCACTTCCAGCAAAGGTGGTCGTCGATTGACAAACGTGACCCTGTCACCACAAAATTATTGCTCAGTTGAACAACACCCAAAAGACAAACATTATTCTGCTTGTGTGACCTGTTGTTACATTCTGTGCTGCTGCAGTTTGAACGGGCACCTTCATTGCACATGCAAATGTTGCATTAAAAACATCACTTTTTTTTTTCATGACATTAAGTTGAGTCGCCAGGCAACTGGGCAAATTGTCACAACACATCAAACCCTATTTGGTGCTTCCATCTCAGCAAAACGACGTGCAAACATTCGGTCAAACTGCTTTCTTTTCATTCCTCGCCCGCCAACTGTAGAGCAACAAGTCAGATAGCGCTTCATCCATAGGAAGCAAGATGGACCCTATGGCCGTCCAAACAAACACAAGCACAGGCGGTGAAAAAAAACAGCCAGGCGTGGCGCTTGGGAGGTCAGGCATGCAAAAGTGCATTTTCATCCATCCGCACTCATACAGCATATATTATGTAAACAAGTGTTGGAGCCATGCTTTTGTCAAACACAAAGAAAGGAGCCGCTAGTCCCCGGAGAGGAGCTTTGTCTATCAAAGACACCATTCAAACCATATTTGACCATCATGATGCCCAAACATCCTCCACTGTCTCTGTGGGCATGAAGGTAAAATACAGTATCAAGTCCAACTTTGTGATATAGTACTGATATCGAAACTCATGCATGAGAAGGTCAAGCATTCCAATTCTAGATAAGAATAAACATACAGACACTGAGATTAATATCGACACTTGAAGAAACGCATCAGAATTGCAGGCCAAACTCAGCGTGTACCAGAAGAGTCAAGGAAGGAGATGGGGAGGGAAGTGGGGGGTGAAAATGAACATATGAAATACTCTGAATGCTGTTTTATGTTTTTTTTTTTTTTGAACCCATGTATTTGTGTGTGTGTTCTTGATGTGTATGTCACTTTTTTAAAATTTATCGGACACAAAATTTGTTCACACAACCGACCCTTTCTCTTTGTTTTTGGCCATCCTTTCACGATACGGTATTCGCTCGAGGGATTGAGCAGGGCATACTACAAGCAGTAAAGCAATAGCAATACTAGTAGACGTCGGCTGTTTTGCATGACTTGGAAAGAACACCAACGGAGTTTTCGTTCAGAAATACAGATTCACGAATGAAGCAATACATGTGTTATGTGAGCAACATAGCCCAAACAACTTTCAAGTCATGGAGATACTGTTTTGTGCCAACAGTGGTTAAACAACCAGATTTTTGGCAAGGTGACGATAGTCGATGTCGATTAATCGATGACATCATGAATGTTTTTGTCAGTTGTCGACTCGTTGCATGGAGGGAATGCTTTGCAATAATATCCTGAATCAAGTGTGTGTGTGTGTGTGTGTGTGTGTGTGTGTGTGTGTGTGTGTGTGTGTGTGCGTGAGTGTGTGTGTGTCCCAATGTCCATAAATGAGCTTCAATCAAGCCTGCTCGGCGGCAGGGGCAGTAGGAGCGCTTCCAGGGAAACCCGGGTTGATAAAAGAGAATCCTTGGAACTCGTCTTGGTCCAGGTTCTGAATCACTTCCTCGTCGGGAGGGGTCAGCACTGGCGGGTGGCGCGTGAAAAAACGGTCAAAGTTCTCAGCGTCCCGTCCACACTGTTGAGGGGGGAGGGGGAGGGGGGGGAAGTGAGATGACATCACTTGAACATGGTTTCAAATAATTGCTCCTACTTAGGGCTGTGCTCCAGTTTACCCCTGCTGCGGATTTGGATCACTCCGGATTACAGTGGTACCTTGGCTGAATATTTGAATTTGTTTGTGACTCAAATTAAATCAATCAAATCAGTCCTCACCATTGAAATGAATTGAAATGCCATTAATCGGTCCCAAGCCCCACAACAAAGCTCAATATTTTGTGTTTTTATTAATAAAGAAAGACTACAAATAAATAATATGAAGACAATAAAATAGGATGAACGTGTAATGAAGTCAAAAGTCACACACTGTCAACCCACTCCTTTTTAAAAAGGTACCACTGTATATTTAAAGTGATAAAAGATCACCAGCACAGCTCAGGAACGCAAATTCTTTTTTCCCAAATATTTGAAACACATTCAACTTCATTTTGAACATAAGGCTACTTAAGTCTCAAACAACCTGTGGAGGTGCACTTGCAGTTTATTGGGGGAAAAAAGTGCGTTTTCATGACATTCAAGTGACAAGACTTCTAAAATGTATGAAAGCTCACTCGGGTGAACTCACAAGAAAAGTTATTGTTGACTTGAATTTACTTCGTCGGTGTGACCAATAGGACCCTCCCAAAAAAGCCTTTAAGCCCAGGAGGTGTGTCGCCCTCTAAGTGCACGAAACAAGTTATTAACTTAAAAACGATACTTTGCCGACAGCACGCCTCATGGGGGCTTTAAGACAAGCAATTTTCTGCGTGTGTCTCCATCACTGCGCTGAGCTTTAATTAAGAAAACAAGGAGACGATATCCTCTGACAACGTCACCCGGAGGAAAACTCCAAAACTCATTAAATCTGTGTATCTCTGAAGGCCAAATGAAATGAAGCCACTGTGTTTATCGTTTAGGGAAATGTGTGAAACACGACGAGGTCAAACGGTATTTTCGGCTAATTACGTGCCTTTTAACCTGTTTGGGCCACCAGAAGGGACAACGTTGCCCGAGTGAGGTTGCAATTTAGAATGCAGCAATCTGACCTCGATTGTATTCCAAGTATACACTTGGCTTAGTTTGTATCAATGCCCCTTGAGAATAGTCCCATTATTATTTCGGCAGGATTCGTGCAGTGCGCTCCAGGGCAGGTTTCATTTGAGACTGAGCCCGTGAGCATGCAAATAAAAGAGACCAACGTCATATGACAGTGAACACAGAGAATTGGACAAATGGAAAAAAAAAAATGTGAGAATGGATGGACAGATGGGTTGATGGCTGGACAGACAATCTGCGCGGAAGGAAGATGATTGAAACGCTGCGGTGGGAAGGACCAACATTTAAGATGAAGACATTTCCACACACATAACAACACAGGCCGCGTCAACAATCGCGGGAGTCAAAAAGCCAACCGGTCAGTCAGATGTTCGGTCCGGTAGCCGCACGTTCCAAAGCCGCCGCAAACCGGAGTCGTTACGTGGCGCAACCAAACACTTGCAACGGATCGACAAAGACAAAGAATTGTTGTCTGTACATAATCCCAGCCGCCAGCGTCACTCTACCGCTGTCGATCCAGCATCTCAAACCTGCAGCGTGGGAGTTCCACCAAGTACAACAGCTGAGAGCACAAAACCAAAAGGTGCTGTTTGAAAAGCAATAGTACCACCAAAATATTAGGGTTTCATTTTCCCACCAGCTTTAACATAAGAAACAGCTTGAAACATTTGCGCAAGTTTCCACAATATTCCTAACAAGAAGGCTTTTCTTCAGTACTCCCAGTAAACGATAAGATATAAATGAACTAGACTTCAAACGTGAGCGGTCCCAGTGGACCGCGCTTCGCATTTTAGGACGAGCACACTTGCAGAAAAAAAAAACACTCCAAAAATGCGCTTGCAATACCGTCATACAAATATACAGAGTACACATTCACACCCACACACACCGCGGCCACAACAGACACACGCATACAATCACAGAGCGGAACACACAAAGACAGAGCAGGACACATCGCACACAAGCAAAGCAGCGGCCGCATTAAAAAAAAAAAAAAAAAAAACCCAGAAACACCCTCTAACCAGCAGTGAGGCTTGGGGCTGCGTGAGTCTGCATGCGCATAATAATGCCACATGTGTGTGAGTCACAGTGACATCATCAAACCGCTAGTTCTGATCCGTCTAAATTTATTGTAGTGAGAACGAGCGCACGCAAAAATACAAGGTTGTTTACGGTCACTCTGTCTGACTAGTATCTTCTCACCTTTTCCCCCCCGGGGAGGATTACGCTCAACTCTAAGTGACCTCAGCAGACAGAAACTAGTTGCACCCAACGCGAGCGCGCCGCCAAGCCTTTCGGCCCAAAACGAAGCCAAAACATGGCCGTGACGTCACGGCCATCTTTCATGGATCGCTGCCATTGTAAGAAGAGACATCTTGTCATTTTTTACCGCCACGATCATTATGTCTCGACTTCCCGGAGATCGTCGCATTCAAAGGAGAGGAAAGAGACAGGAAGTGTAAAAAAAACAAAACAAAAAAGACAGAAGAGAGCCAAGATTCGAGAGGAAGCAAACTGCAGCGGTTTAAGCATTGGACCCTTTGATGAGACTTTCTTCACAGCGGGCCAAACTTACAGCTTTGGGTTTGAAAGGCGGCTGCACCTCCTTGTTCTCCAATTTCTCCCAGTCCATGTAGCGGAAGAAGCTGTGGTCCCTGATGTCTCGCTCCCCCTCTGGAGCGCAGCCTAGCCGCTTGGCTGGATGCTTGGTCATCAACTGGCCAGACGGAAAGCGGAAAAGAATGAGGATTAGTCGCGTTCTGCTCTCGCATGGCACAGGCAGGATTTGTCTCGTGTATTGTTCGTTCGACTTGGCTTGAGCTGCGTGGGGCTGTTGACATTCAAGTGTTATTGGCCTCATTACTTGCGCGTCCTCTCTTTCAAGGTCTTCTCGCCACATACTGTCATAATATCGAACCACAACAGATTTTTTTTTCCCCCCCCACATATGAAAGTATGCAAATGGAATTACGGCACATTAAATCCCCACTCTGGTTGAAATGATTACATTTTGAGCGGGGCGCTTCTATCTCAAGCAAATGCGGAGTATTTTTGTTGCCATGACAACCAGGTGCAGCTGCTTCAAACTCCGCAAATTTCCACTTTGGAATCGTTGAATTGAATTCCGTTTCTGTCCATTTATATTTCCCACCCGCAGCACTTTCCATTATTCCACTCTCGATGAACTTAAGTGAGCAAGCGCCCCGAAGCCCGCAGACAACAACTGTTGTTTTTCGCTCGTCGCTTGCCACGTTGGTATTCCCCGCAGGCAAAATTAAAGAGCACTTATGATGTCTGTCCAGGCAAAACCGTAAGAAAGGCAACAAGGCCGGTGACGTCATGTGCGTACGCGTGCGTTTGTGTAGGTGGGGCGTGCCTCTCTGAGGAGCAGCAGTCATAGCTCATTAAGTTCGAAACTAAAATAGCAATTTTCACGGGTCAGTCAACGAGGCACACACAAACGCAGACGTGCGCACGCAAGCACAGGTGGGCCGCTCGCACTTTGACACATTTTCCTAAACAAACACAAAAATATCAAAAGGAGTTGTTTACTCGGGGTATTACACACTCCGCTGCTTCCGTGCTCCTTTTTTTCCCCGGACTGGAGAAAAGCTGACAGATAAAACTTTTCGCGGGCAACCCACTGCACCCGGGCCAGTGGGAAAAAAGTTTGCGGAGGTGTGTGTGTGTGTGTGTGTTTTTAAGTGGGCTAAAACAACTTAGGGGTGCAACATGGTCTGAAAAGTCATCTGGGGGCGAGGGGGGTCACACTCCATCCGCCGACACACACACACACACACACACACACACACACACACACACACACACACACACACAGGGTATTACATTGTTGCTGCCGTTATAATTTTTGCCCACTATAATTCACTCTTCACCTCTTCTATGTTGATGGTAAAATAAGCTAACAAAACAGCATTTGCTAGCATCCTCACAAGAATAATCACATTTTCTCTTTTCTCGGCAAAACTTTGTTAATTCAATCATTTAGATGAATACGGCATCATATTTTGAGCTACACGCTCGCTTATTTCCAACATTAGTGCTGCTCCAATTCATAAAATGTGAATCTCATCTCATGTGCCGGCGCGAGAGTACGCGCGCGCGGCTACATTGTGTAGGAGCAAACGTGTTCAATTAGCCTTTGCTGTAAAGTCATGTGAAGTTGAATATTGTGTACCTAACGTCATGTCTCCGTAAAACATAACAGCGGTGTGTATGTGCTGCTGTTTGAGTGTGTGTGTGCGTGTGCGCACATGTGTGTAGCCCATTGCTAACTATGAAATATAGATGTTGGCTTGGATAGAATCAAGGGAGTGGAAACATCTCTGATCACTCCTTTTACACACGTTGCACATACAAGTGCACTCTTTGGACGATTTTACCGTGTGTTGTATTGTAACCATTATTTCTTCCACCTCTATAAAGGCGGGAAAACTCAAAGTACGATTACTTACAATGACACAGTCTTTGAAAAGATGTGCTACGCGGAGCAGAAAACCCTTGCATCTCCTCGCGCTGAATTTCGATCAGCAAAATAATAACATGGCGGGTTCCCGACGGCAAGTTGAGCGATCGTATTTGCACGTTGTCTTCGCTGCTGTGAAACGCCGTTCCGACGATGATTTTTCTTGCAAATGGAAATATCATGTTAGGCTTCGAGTCGAAGAATTGCGTTAACCCAGGCGCTGCTGTCAGGGCGCGGTGGGATCTGCGGGGGTGGACGGAGGCGAGCGTTCACGCCCCAATGGTGATCCACAACAACCCTAGTAATCATCACTAATACATAACGTGGCCTTATGTATGCGTGCGTGTCTGTGTGTGTGAATGTCTTTGCATATGTGGGAGTGCTTGTTGGCCAAAGAGTGAACATTTTTGTCATCAATTTGTTCGTGAAACATCGGCGAACGTCTTGAATGCCTGCATGGCTGTGAGAACGTGTGTATCTGGTCCATGCTGGCCCTGTGTGTGCGTGTACGTGCGTGAGTCTGCACTCACAAGACACTTTATTAGGTACACTCGCACAATCTCATGACAGCCGCTGCAGTAAAAACGACGCCCTTACAAAGTCAAACATGTTGAATTTTGACCATTTTCAGAGTGATATTATTTGACCAATATTTTGGTAACTTCTGAAGCTGCGCGGAAGGGATGCAACATCTTGGTCGTGGTGAGAGGTCAAGGACAGTAAGGCTTCTCTGCTCTCCTTGGTCTTAACTCATTCACTCCCAAAGACTCTTTTAAACGTCTTTTCAGACTTGGTCTAGAATTGGCTGGTACTGAATGAGTTAAAAAAAGAAACAAACCTATATGCTTGTCGAACAATGCCGAAGAGAACCACATCCATTTCTCTCGGCGCTTTATCATTTGATAGTCGCAGCTCCACTGAAGCGTATTCAAATTGCGCAGGTGTGTCTAATATTATGGCCAGTTTGCCTTTCATTAACTCAAAGAGCGTCTGAGTTCAGTTAAAGATGCTGAATATCGACGAAACTTGGGATGATCTGGTCCACGGCCAAAGCGCGTGTGATTATGCGTGTCCGTGCGGTGGCAATTTAGTGCGGGCAGTGAGGCACAAAGGTCGAAGACGAGAGTGAGGCGTGTGTGTGTGTGTGTGTGTATCGATGGGGCCAACTCGTTGATACTCTTTTGAAAAGCGGTCCGGCCCTGTTAGGCAGCTTCATTTTAACTGTCCAGTCTATTTTGAAGAGCTCCCACAGCTCAAGCCATTTCATTAGTGCAGTGCAGTGCAATGTGGGTGTGTGCGTGTGTCTGTGTGAGAGGATGTGCAATGGAGGAAAAGGGGGGGGGGCAAAAAACAATGAGCAGTGCAGGCAGAGAGAAGGACGGACGGGGAAGCAGAGCGCTTATGACAGAGAGATGGAAGCAGGACAGATAGCGAAAGCGAACAATGTTGTTTCACTGCACATAAATGTTCCCTCACAATGGTTTTAATTATGCAGATAATTCTGATGTCCCTCTCTCTCTCGCTCGCTCTCGCCGTTTCTATCCACTCACCTCTTCCCTCCGGTTCCTGCTTGCTGTTCTCAAACAAATTTCATCTCCGCCCAGATGTCTTTTTGTACATTTTGTGTGAAGGTGGGACCTTGGTCAGTGAATGTAAGTGCGGTTTATGCGTCCACTCACCCCTTTACAGATAGCCACAGCCTCCTTGGACATTGACTTGGGATAGGAGACATGGTGCTCCATGATGGACTGAAATAACTCATCTTCGTCCTCACCGTCGAAAGGAGGCTGGGGGTAGGAATCAAATGCAGAACAAGTTCACACATTGTCATCCGGTCAAGTCCGAATGTGGAAAAAAAACAAACAAAAGCATTTTGTGTCCATAGTCCGTATTCGAACTGTTCAATGTCAGAACACAGCGGATCTCCAATTCTCTAAATGCAATCCAAATGGAAGGTGCAGAATTTGAAAAAAACAAAACAAAAAAAATCACATCTCATCACAATTATTAACGCTCGAGTAAGGGAAAACTCATGAAGGAATTTAATTTAATAACTCAACTTCTCACTACACGTGGTCAAATATTGAGGGCAACCAAAAGCATCCGTGTTATTTATTATCTTTTTGGAATCAAATGCCTTTTTCCTGCAATCACATTAAAAGGAAATCAAATTACATCAACAAATGCGTGCGCACACACACACACCTGTCCCGCCAGCATTTCATAAAGCAGAACTCCAAAGGCCCACCAGTCGACGGATTTCCCATAGGGCTGGTAAGCTATGATCTAAAACAGAAAGATTGATCGTCACGCTACCGTAGGAACAAAGCGACAGCGAAATTGACACGCAATACGTCTCCAATCATTCAGCTCAAATAAGACGGAGATTATCGGTATCCAACACAAAGAAGCACAATCTAACCTCTGGTGCGATGTAGTCAGGTGTTCCGCAGAAGGTCTTGGTGGTGACTCCATCGTTCATATTTTCTTTGCACATGCCAAAGTCGGCTATTTTGATGTGGCCCTCGCTGTCCAGCATCACGTTGTCCAGCTTGAGGTCTCTGGGTTCAAATTCAGAATGAAATAGGAACTCGTTGATCAGGTGCTTGGGAAACAGTCTTCTCTCCAAGTGGGAATTGCAGTTCCCAAACGGGCGTTTCATTCATTTACAGACATATCGAGGAGCGGTCCCCGACCTTGTTTTTGTGTCACAGACCGGTTGAGGCGAGTACATGCTGTTCGCGGAGCGGCAACCATTTATTTTTTTTTTTTGTTCCCATTGCTTTTAAATTGCCAGTTTTAAAGCACCGCTACTGACAACAAAGATGATTTTCGAGTTATTCAACATTTTATGAACACTCTTTCATTTCAAACAGCGTTATTCTACTGCACGACAGATGTAGACTAAAAAAAAATAACGCAGTGAACTCCAAAGAAATGGACCAATTAGGAATACAAAAAATATGCCTTATAATGTAAACATAATAATTTTTTTTTAAAGTAATTACAAAAATAAAAAGCTAGATTTTGATGTAATATATTTTATTCAGTTAAATAATTACAAAAAAAAACTAAATTTAGATGCAACATATTTTACTCAATTAAATAATTTGGAAATAAATTCTGCGGAAATTATTTACAGTAGCTTTTTAAAACGAGAATGAAATATTGTGTCATTACAATAAACTATATCTAAATATTCTTCATGCACACATTTCTTTGACCTCATCTACCATTTGTCTGTTTTAAAAATCAAATGTGACCCATGAGCAAAAAGTTTGCCCACCCTTGTCCAACAGTTTGGCACGACTTCATGTTGCCTGAGTCGAGACAGGTCAGTGTAAATATGAACGATTTCTTGCCTTGCGCTACGGACGTTACCTGTAGATGATGCCCTTTTGGTGCAGGAAGAACAATCCGATGGCGATCTCTGCGGCGTAGAATCTACAAATGAGCACAACAGAAAACCGCCTTAATTAGAAAGAGGCTGAAGGAAAAGCAGAGGGCGTGCATGTGCGGGTCTGTAGAAAAAGGTCGGCGCTGTCTCTTCGAGGCCAGCTGATAAGATCAACAGTCTGGACACACTGACCGACCATGCAGTCAACAAACATACGAGCGGGGATTTTTCTCAGGCCGTGCACAATCGACATCTTGTCCGTAATGCGCTTGTAAAAGACGTCGCGAGGCATTTTGAGTGCGTGCAAAGTGGTGACGCATATGCACAGCCCATTTCGTGCTTAATCTGTGAACAGAATGATACCCGGAGGGCCATTGCTGTCGCACAAAGCTCACGTGACCTTCTCCCTTTTTAATGAAAACATGTACAAGGTTGAGGGCCGGATGCATCCAAATACTGTCTGTGGATGAGAAAGAACCCATGAAAGGTCCACTCTGTGCAGTGGCGCCATTTGCACCGGCCTTACAGACATGCTGTTTAAAGACGCAACCATCAGCCATCAAAAATTCCTCTCGGGTTTGATAAATGACGCTGCACGTACAAAATCCAGATTCCGCAACACCGAAAATGAACCGTGTGGCAATTTAGCATTTGGCGGACGCAACTGTGGGTGAGCCAGGTCGGAAGATCAGCTTCCACATCTGTTCCCTTGAACAGTCTAATTTTTGCACACACACAAACCTTCTGGAAATCAGTCCCAAAGAGACCGATTCCCAATGAAGCTCATGAAGGGCAAACGCCAACAAGGCTCCTCGGTTCTCTCGCGGCCGGCTCGTTAAATATGCCGGCGTGTTGGGCCCGACTTGACATCACAGATCTCTCCAGCCACATGAATTATTTCCTGCCTTGATGGAGGTGTTCGAGTTCATCCGGCAGCTGCTGGATACACTCATTTCTTTCAACTCCTTCACAGTGGCGAGGCTCATTTGGGGGAGAACAAACTATTTCACCCCCCCAGGGTTTAATAGGAGCTCTGGGATGCGGATGGCCTTGTTCAGGATGAGGTTTCAAAACCAGTGAAAGTTTGCATGCATCCATCTATCCATTTTCTGTCTCGTTTTATCCTCACAAGGGTCGCGGCGGGTGTTGGGGCCTATCCCAGCCGTCTTCGGGCAGTAGGCAGGGGGACACCCTGAACCGCTTGCCAGCCAATCGCAGGGCACACAGAGACGAACAACCATCTGCGCTCACACCCACACCTCGGGACAATCTGGAGTGTTCACTCAGCCTTGCCATGCATGTTTTTGGAATGTGGGAGGAAACCGGAGTACCTGGAGAAAACCCACGCAGACCCGGGGAGAACATGCAAACTCCACACAGGGAGGCCGGAGCTGGAATTGAACCCGGTACCGCTGCACTGTGAGGTCGGCGCGCTAACCTCTGGACCACCGGGCCACCGTGAAAGTTTGCATGAGTCAAATTTTTTTTTTTTCGCCTGCCTCTACTCACACAGCATGAGGCTCTTTGAACTTGCCGACCTGCTGAATCTGATACATGAGATCTCCGCCGTTGATGAACTCCATGACAAAGTACAAGCGGTCCTGCAGTGAGGAGGGGGAAAAAAAAAAAAGGTCAAAAAAGGTTCGGGGAAATGGGGAAAAAGTATCACGAGCAAAGACAACAGCAAGTGATGGGGTCAAATAGTAGTCATGAGAAAAGAAGGATGACAGTGGGAGCAAAAATGGACCGATAAGGACTTAGTCTTCTACTGAGGCATTACAGTCGTATCAATTTAAGACACCATCGTCTTCCATTAGCAACAGAAATTGCCAATAAAGATTCCCGTATGTGGGGCAGGTGCGAGGGGCTTTAGTGTGTGTGCGTCACTATTATTCTATAAATCTCAGAAGCGGTCATTTTTTTGCGCACGTTGAGCTTATTGCGTGCGTGTTTTTCTCCGGCTTTCAATGATCAAAATATACGACGACACATTACAGCTGACAATAAATACGAGCGTGTTCCAAGTGCATAAATACCGTCATGTAGGGAAGCAGTCTGGTGAGTGGAGAATTAATGCTGCAGAGGATTAACACACTCCTTCGGCTGCGTGCGCGTCAACTCGATTTGCATTGAACAACCACCGCGAGCGCACTCCCACGCACGTTATTCTCACTCATCAAGACACGTATGAAAGTCTGCACACGTGTACTAAGCATATCGACGTAAATGACATTTGAGTTGAGCACAGCGTTCTCCCGAGCTATATTTACTCCTCTGTTGACTCATCGTTAGCGCAATATTATGGATTACACGTTTTTGGAATGTGGGAGGAAACCGGAGTACCTGGAGAAAACCCACGCAGACCCGGGGAGAACATGCAAACTCCACACAGGGAGGCCGGAGCTGGAATTGAACCCGGTACCGCTGCACTGTGAGGTCGGCGCGCTAACCTCTGGACCACCGGGCCACCGTGAAAGTTTGCATGAGTCAAATTTTTTTTTTTTCGCCTGCCTCTACTCACACAGCATGAGGCTCTTTGAACTTGCCGACCTGCTGAATCTGATACATGAGATCTCCGCCGTTGATGAACTCCATGACAAAGTACAAGCGGTCCTGCAGTGAGGAGGGGGAAAAAAAAAAAAGGTCAAAAAAGGTTCGGGGAAATGGGGAAAAAGTATCACGAGCAAAGACAACAGCAAGTGATGGGGTCAAATAGTAGTCATGAGAAAAGAAGGATGACAGTGGGAGCAAAAATGGACCGATAAGGACTTAGTCTTCTACTGAGGCATTACAGTCGTATCAATTTAAGACACCATCGTCTTCCATTAGCAACAGAAATTGCCAATAAAGATTCCCGTATGTGGGGCAGGTGCGAGGGGCTTTAGTGTGTGTGCGTCACTATTATTCTATAAATCTCAGAAGCGGTCATTTTTTTGCGCACGTTGAGCTTATTGCGTGCGTGTTTTTCTCCGGCTTTCAATGATCAAAATATACGACGACACATTACAGCTGACAATAAATACGAGCGTGTTCCAAGTGCATAAATACCGTCATGTAGGGAAGCAGTCTGGTGAGTGGAGAATTAATGCTGCAGAGGATTAACACACTCCTTCGGCTGCGTGCGCGTCAACTCGATTTGCATTGAACAACCACCGCGAGCGCACTCCCACGCACGTTATTCTCACTCATCAAGACACGTATGAAAGTCTGCACACGTGTACTAAGCATATCGACGTAAATGACATTTGAGTTGAGCACAGCGTTCTCCCGAGCTATATTTACTCCTCTGTTGACTCATCGTTAGCGCAATATTATGGATTACACGTCACAAGACGAGCACGACTCCACCGTGGATCCGGTTTGTGTATTGTACAGCCGTGAGACGCAATTAAAGAGGAGAGAGAGTCCACCGGATGTCTCGCGCCGATTCATTTGACTTGGACGGCTGCAAGCCGCCGCAGAAACAAATACAACTTTTCCCCGCCTTCACTTTTTGGTCTTTGTGTGTTTTTTTTTTTTTTTTTTTTTTGTGTGAAAAAGATTTCAAGCCTTCTGCTCGTTTTGCTTAAGTAAACCCCAGATCAACGTATATACCCAGTATACGGAATTGTCCGAAATTAAATAGGATTTGAAATTCTTCATTCCTATTTGTAATAGTAAAGACTGAGAGCGGAAAGGTGATCGGATACATTTGTCCAGCGCGGTATATAAAAGGCGGGGAACTATGACGTATATCCGAATGCAATGTCATTCTTCGCTATTTTTGATGACAATTTAAAAACAATGCACTTATCTTTGAATTCATACACAGTTTCAAGTGTGAGTTCAAAACTTGGTTTCCAGCTGTACGTTGTCAATGTCGACTCACTCCATGATTCATCCTCATTTGCGTGACACCGCCCACATCTCCAAAGAATCCAACATTTGAAGAAAAGAAAAGAAAAGAAAAGCCCAGGCGACGCCCTACCATGGTTTGGAAAGTGGAGTGCAACTGCGTTAAGAAGGGCGGCTTTCCCGACAGCGCCAACACTCTCTTCTCCACCATGGTGCACTCCACGTCGTCATCCTGGATCACCACATCCTTCTTCAGGATCTTGATTGCGTACAGATCTTCGGTGCCTTTGTGCTCTGCTAGCATCACCTGAAAAGAGAAACGGTGGATGATACGTAGAGTACCGTACGCGGCGCATTTCGACATATGTGCGGACGGATTTTTATCCCTTGTATTTTTTTGTCCACTTCATGACCTTTGTCCTTGTAGCCCATCCTCAGATCAGCGAGTGCGCTGGGCCAAACGCGGTCGTACAATCAGCTCGAATCGCTAAATAAATCACAATATGAATCTAAACTAAGAGCAAAACGACATTTCTCTAAACGCTGAGCGGGGGCAATGAGTCTCCAAAATGGAGGACACTTTAAACTGCATTATCAGCGTTTAGGGGTCTAAAACTCTCCCGCTTATCAGTCTCAAACCAATATAAGCATGGACGTGTTTTATCTATGGAAAAAAAAAAAAGGCAATGAAAGGAAAAATATTAAAGACAGCGCAGAGTTTCCATTAACATGGATAACAGCGTGTGTGTGTGCACGTATTCCCCAAAAGGCTAATTGAGTTTTGGAACCTCAATAGAGGGTCTTTAATTCAATTGTTTATTTTGTTTTTTTTTTTTAATTCATTTTTAAACCTTCTAATATGATTGTGGCGCGCATTAGCGTTTGAAAGGAAAAATGCAGGCAAAGTCAAATTTGAATGCACTCACAATTCTTAACTCGGAGGACGCTATGACTGACTTGACACCCACTTGGTACTTCACGATACCTATGAGATCACGGAATTAGCAGATTTGCTGTTTATGCCTTATAAATATTCAGGTATGATAATATCGAGGCTTTATTAGGCTTTGGATCCTACAGGGAGCGCCGCACAGATGGACACGCTAGCGGTGTGTGCGTGGTTTTGCGTTTGTGTGCAAAGGGGTCGGCCGCGCTTCAAGAATATGCGGCACGTGGACTTGAACATAAAAGTTGAGCAAGCAGTTTCACTTTGGAGATGTGCAGGTGACATCCGTTCACAAACGCAACGAGTGTGCTCACGTGCGTTTCTATCTGGTGTCAGCAGGACGCTCTCAAGATGAAACAGGAAAAAAAAAAAAAAACACCATCTGGCCTGAAGCGGATTTCGTGCAGCAATAGGGACAAGGATACCGCCACGTAATATCACCAAACAAATTCTCATGAAGTGCAATAACAGAAAAGAGAGCGGGACCATCGCTGCAGCGGATTGACTTGTACACGTCACGTTCCAACTGCGGCGTCTTAAATCGAGGTCATGTGGTTCCGGTATCAATCACAACACCGAATGGAGGCGTGTCACTCTCGTGTCAACGCTCTTTTCTGCGATGAAGTTGTTCAGGGTCGTTTGACAGAAAGGGAAGTCCTGGGGGGGACACACAAACTCGTAAATGATGCCACAGTCAGTGTTCCGTCTGCTGACCTTGCACGGTGGCTGCACCCGGGGAAAGCCGGCCAAAAGCACAATCTACCGCACTACACCGCAGTGCATCATAGCGCAATATGTTCTAACACGCGGCGCCGGGTTGCATTAGTCCGAACCGTCGGCTCCGATAACGTCCGCCGTGGCGGTGTGTCTTCCCGTCTAAATCAGGGAGTGACTTACTGTGTGCTTATGTTTACATCGTCATCATTTTGTGATCACCTTGTCCCATCAATTAATTAGTCTCACCGCTGTTGAATACCAAACAACGGCATTTCAGCGCTTGTAAATACAAGTATTAAAATAACGTAGTGAATAATATCAATCGAGCGGTGCCTTGAGATATCAGTTTGGTTTGTTCCGCAAACTGCGCAAAGCGCTTCATAAATCATGTCAAATCATCTTTCCCTGTTGAGATGAATGGAAACGCTATTAATCCGTTCCCCGCCCCCAAAAAAGATTTGGGTCATCGGTTTCATAAAGAAAATCACACCGCATAGAATTATTTCTCAAAATGCAATAGGAAATGACAATTAAATCAAATTGAAATAAACAGTTGGTGCTTTAGGATTCATTTTGGGCTGCAATTTGTCCATTTTTTTTTTCAATTCATTAAATAATTGGCTTGAAAAAAAATCCATCTTTACAACATGAATATCTCTCTGACAGTGTCAATCAAAACTCATCGGTATTAGCAGAAGCATTGTTCACACTTCTTGTCTTGGACCAGGCTGTGCAGTTCACTTGAAATGAAAAAAAAAGGTCCCTGCGTGTTTGTGAGCGTCATCTGAGGCTGCACATATTGTGCTTTTCATGAAATCCATGCGAGCGTTTGCTCTTGACGCATGTTTGGCATTCCAACAAAGCCAGACCCTCCACTCGGCTCGCGGCTCCGACACGGCGCACGGTGGTGCCTGTTGCCATGGAAACAGACATCCAAGGTCTAAAACACAGTCAATTGTCCCTCTCTCGTTGCGTATCTGTCACTTTCTCCCCGCCGCTTTGGTCGTCCTCGCTCCCTTGCAAATTCTCTCTCTTTCTCGCTCTGCTTTGCTTTGCTTGCTTGCCTCGATTCTCATTCATTCATGTCAGCCGCCACCTTGCCAAGGTGTCCCTTTGCTTGCTCACTCACGTCTGCTCCATTCAGTCTGTTTTCATGCACCCCTCTTAAAATTCATTCACGTCAGCCACCCGCCCATCAGTCTCTCCCCTTTCATCGCTCAGCAACTGCCACATCATCTTTGCCTCTTTCCCTTCATTTATCTTCATCTACCTGCGCTTCATCGCGATGGATTCTTTGGATGTCCCGCTTGGACCTTCTGTTCATCTGTACTTTGCCTTCCTCTCTCGAAACTCTTTCTAAGGAGCTTTGATGCCACGTAGACCGTATAGGCCAAAGCTTTGAGGCACCGCTTAATCAATTAGCGCATGAAAGAAGTATTTGTACTTTAATTCCCACCACTGGCATAAACTAAGGTTGAGAAAAGCTTGTTTGAAGTAGTTTGGAAAGGAGGAACGTGAGCGCGAACTGCAACAGAAGTTGTGTGCCGAGGCCCTCCGTGAACGACGGTACATGGGCAAAAAAAAAGATCATCTCACCTTGCCAAAACTGCCCTTTCCCAGCACCATCAGGAATTCAAAGTCAGACAGCTTCATGCGATCTTGGTTGCCATTGGAGTCGAAGCGGGCGGCGTTGGCAGATTTGCCTTCGGTGTTCTTGCCCGGACCAATTTTAGCCCTCTGGATCAAGATGAGAGACAAATGTTAAGAACGCCAGTTTGTCGAACGTCCCGACATGCCGGTCTTTAAGAGGATATACATAACTCATTCGAAAGATCATCTGGATGGGGGCAATGACTGATAGCAGCTATTAGACGATATTTGCTGGAGGACACTTCTCGTCATTAACCCTCAACAATTCCATTTCAAAGAAAACGCGGTCATGAATGAACAGCATTTGAAAGAACATTTGTAGAGATGGCGCAAATACTCGGTCCATCTGGATCAGCGATTCTTATTCACGAGACGGTACTCAATCTTTCATTTCCATACATCCGACTCTCCATTTATTCATCACCATCTCCCTCTTGTTGTTGCCGCATTTCATTTTCAAACCCTCTCGCTCCCTTAATAGACACCCCCCCCACCCCCCTTTTGACCTTGCCACCCTCCCTTGCGATGTCTTCTCGCTTTTAAAAAAAATATAAGGTTCATATCATACTTTGCATTTCGTATGACCGTATTTCAATTTTAAAAGGGTCTCTGGACTTGAACAAAAAATGCCGACGCACTCAGAAACAAAAGGTGCAGGACGAGGACATCATCCCTTATCTTATCCCAAATTGCTGAGCCACGCTGATTTCTTCACTTCTTCCAGTCTGGGCGGTTTACGTCATTTCTCTGCTGCACTCTCTCTCTCACCAAAAAAAAAAAAAAAAGATGCCTGTTTGTACACTTGTGAAACCTGTCACATCTGTCAAACTTCCTGACTCTTTTTCTTATTCAGTGACACCACGATGAATATAAAACGCAGACTGCCAAACAGTCAACAGCATTTTGAATTTGTCGTTACTTCTTTGGGTGCTTGACTTGAAATGTGTTGTTCGAAATAGAAACAGTAGAATCCTTGTGCGTCAATGAAAAGCTCGACGGAATAACGGGAGCTGAAAATGTGTTCGCTTTATCTCCAGGTTAGCTTACGTCACCCAAAATCGATAGGGAACAGACAACTCCGGCCTGAGAGCTCACTGAACGGCGTGACCAGCCCGTGTCAGAGAGCTTTCACGTCGCGATGATTAAAAATCTGCACGTCAACGCAGACCCGAAACCACCCCGGTAAACGGCAACAACTCGCCCCTCTCTGTGTCAGCCCCGTGGGATTGAGTGCGAGTGTGCGCGCGCCCGCCCGTGCGAGATATCCCCCCCTGCCCGAGAATGTTTCTCGCAGTGTGTCCGAGGACCGTGACCTTCAAGAGACGGGCGTGAAAGAAAAACAGATAAAGAGACAGAAGCTCTCAGGAGGGCAATGAGGACAAAAGCGATAAGCAAAAGAGTGTGAGGGAAAACATAATGAGGGGGAGGGAACAGAAAGGGGGGGGGGCAGTGAGACATCCAGGAAGATGGAGCGGGCAGAAAGCGAGACCGGCGCGCAAAGTCGTGGTTTCGCAGCGCTTTCCTGAAGTAAAGCGGACAGCGAACATTTTGGGCATAGGATGAACATTTCACGTGGTTGCGTTGATGCTCTGCATAAATCAAACCGGCCCGCAAAGAAGAGGCCACACGATTTGATCCGTAACCGCACAGGCTGATTGACTTTGCTTCTCCATGCGGCACTTTTGGTGGTCCTCGGCTGGCCCACCACGGCAGGTGAAGAAGTGTCCAAGAAAATCCAGATGTGTGTGGCATTTATGACCATTCCAAGAATGCCCAGATTGGACCACTGCGCTGTGTGGCGTGCGATGAGATCGTTCATTAAGGAATCAGTCGGATGAAGTTAGAAGACAAACTCGCACGCTGGATAATTCTGTAATAATAATTCCGGCTCTGTGTGTGTGCGTGTGTGTGTGTGTGTACAGGCATTTCTGAATATGGGACAGCGATAATGGAGCATCAATGATTTCCATTTTAGATGTTGGATTTACCATTGCGTGTTCGCCGAACGCAAGACGGCAAGAAAATTGAAATAGAGGCCGCACTTTGTATCGCCGCAGGGCCGACTCGAGCATCGGCAGCAACATTAGGTGGACAGAGCGCATAATCTCATGTCATCTATTCAAACATTTTGCCGTGAGAAAGACAATATTGCTCATTGTTGATTGACGTTATTGGAGACCGATTCGTTTTCAATAATGACGCTATTCTAATTACCTCCACCATGCATTGCACGACTTGGCGTTCGTGTTGTGACTGTTTGTTCATTTCTTTTAAAAAAAACATCATTTCCAATCAACTTTGAGGGGGGGTCATGGTACTCACCCCCCCCCCCCCCCCACACACACACACACACACACACACACACACACACACACACACACACACACACACACGTTTACAACTTAAATGTAGCCGTGGCCAAAAAGCGAAGCGTGGCGAGTCTCATCATTGCCAAGAGCCTCCCAAATACCCACATTTTATTTCTCGTCTGTTGCCTCTCTTTGTATTATTATAACACACGTAGCTTTTGTGGACTTTGCTGTCCCTAAAGAGTCATTGATCTTGCACATGCATTCGGCGACCGTGCGGACGAGGCCTCGGATGATCTTTTCACTATGAGAGCAACGCACTTCATCGCCACTCTGTGACATTTCGCAGTCAGTGGGAGCGAGAGACAGACGAAGCAACAGTCGTCTTGCGTCCAATGTGCTCATCAGAGGGCCTCGTGATCACGCTCGCGCGTATACACTCATTCATGTGCAAACACACAAACACACACACAGACAAACACACCCCTGCAGTGTGCCAGACTGGATGGTGAGTGTGTGCTTGCCAACTGCTAACAGCGCTCCCACTCAAGAGTGTATCGCACGCACACAGCGAGAGAGAGTAAAAAAGGCCCACCTCAAATTTCTGCCGTAGCTCCTCATTGCCCTCCTCCCCCTCCGGCGGAACTGGAACATTGAAGTACTCGCCTTCTTCCTGGGAGAGCATCTTGAACCTGAGGACAGAGCATATTTCCACTTAAATCAATTCCCAATTAGTTGATACAATTTAGACATTAACTGCAGCCATTAGGCAAGGCTGCCGACAGTTAGTACGCCAATTTAAAGTGTGAAAGAATGATAGGCTCATTATTTAGCAATTCCCTCTCCTTCATGGTAATCTCGCAAAGCCTGACAGAGGAGTGAAGACGCTTCTCATTTCGCCCAATCGATGGAAGACAATTTCACATTTGGTCCATTACGCGTTTGACTCCTCGGAACTCAGCAAACAGCCCCTATATTCACGCTCAATTACACTGGGGAGGATTTGAGTGCCATATGGCCTTTAGCTCTTGTAATGTATTTGTAATATATGTCTTGAATTATTTACACGGGATTTGACTTTTTTCACTTTCATCTTCTGGTGGAATGGCGGAGGTTTTTTTTTTTTTTACTTTCTCCTTCACTTTAACTCGCATATCTGAAAAACACACCAAAGAGCCAAACTGTCCACATATCCATTATCTGAAACATTTCTTTCACCTCAACTCACTCGCGGAAACTTACTGCGTGTTTCCAAGCACCCAAAAAATTCATTCAAGGTTATTTAGATTGATCGGCTATACTGCATTAAAACAAGTCAATATAATACTGAGCATTATTGAAGCACGAATTAATCGGCACATCTAATAGATTGCCTTTTTGAAGAAAATAAGCCTTTGTAAGTTTGAAGTCAGACTATTTTGGTGCAAGGGAGCAGCATTGAACAAGTGCAGGCACGTTCAGCGGCACGCGGCGCGAACGTGGCAAGGTCATTCTGGATCTGAATGTTGTCACAAAAAAAAATTGCCAACATTTCAATACCATTCCTCAGCTCCACAAGACTAATTGCATGACAATTAATAAAAACAAAACCAAAAAACAAATACAAATGAGCATAACGTACACGTGATACTGCCTATTGTTGTAAATATTATGAGCGGATTTTTGTATTTGAATCCTCCTGACAGACGTGTACTGGAAATAAAAAAAGCTTCGTCAAAGGCTCACCTTTTTTTTTTTTTTAAAGATACCTGCCATAGAGGAAAATAACAATAGAAAGTGATTTTTTAGCTCCGAAAAGCAGATGTTACTTCTATATCAAAACTGCCTCCAGCATCTCCAGACCACCATTTTGCCGCAAATGCTGGCATCTCATTAAACGCCCTGACAGTAGTGTCAGCAGAAATGAAGGGATGAAAGAAGGCTGGAATGGGTGCGAGAGAGAGAACACGGACGAGAGAGAAAACAAGCAATGAAGTGGCGGAGGGAAAGACGTTTTGTCACAGAGTGTCACCACGGTAAGAAGGGCCCAAACCAAAAGCCGTTCGTTCTCCAACAGCGCGCTAATGAACAAGGTCACCTTCGCTCTCCCTCCTCTTCCTCCGTCTTACCATCCATCCACTCCCTGTTTTTGCAGCTCCGAGATGCCGAAGGACAGAGATCCCATGAAGTCATTGCGGCTGGTCAGGTCCCAATCCCACGCCTCCACGGAAAGACGGCGGTCCTTATCGCACTCCTTCAGGTGGCTTGAAGAAAAAAAAAAAACAATGCCCATCAGACAAGGATCAAGGGGACTCGCTCTCATCTAGTTTCGTGGCCACCGGCCAAATCCAACATTGATATTTGCCAAGACTTACTCCACATTTAGCTTGCATTAGTCCTCTCACCTTCTGAGTTTGTGTGTGTACAATATACAAAGTGTGTTATTTTCATCCTCATTTGGCATATCTGTTGCAACATATCATGCAACGAGGGTTTTTTGCAGTTTTTGCTTTTTTTTCAAAAAAATTTTGCATTTTAATTTGTTTAACTTCCTTATCAAATTGGAACAGATATTTTTTTCCCCCATTTTTTTCCTATGACAAAAATTAATGGTCAACCACCATAGTGGCCATTCTATATTTTAGCCTATATTCAAGCCACACACAGTGCGTGTGATTAAATATTGTTTATGCTCTCTTTTTTTTTTCTTTTTAGTCATGCAAATGAATGCCCCAATATACACCCCCCCCCCAAATGATTCATAATTTAAGACCGTCTTCTTCTAGGAGAGCCGCGATGATGATTTATTAAGTACATAACTGGATTCGGCGGCAGGAAACAACCCCAAAAGCGAGGTTTTATGAATATAAGACACCAGATGTTGTTATCTGAGCGCCAGCGGTGACATACACTTGGAAAGTGGCGCTTAATGTAATGCCTTTTAAAAGACTGCACGGAGCGAGTGAGGGACTAAATGAGGAACACAAGATGAAAGAGGAGGCAACCGATCATGGTGGGAGAGATTGATGGAGGCAGATGAGAAGAAAGGCAGAGATAGAAAAGCAGCCCTAATTAATAGATGGGGGAAAAAAATGATCAAGAGTGGTGTAAAAAAGAAAGAAAGAAAAAAAAAGGCCTTACAATTTAAAGGTTTCATTCCAGACGGGGTTGAGGCAGCACTTAATGGTCTTGGTCTTCTGTTTACTTTCGCTGCGAGGATCCGGGATCAGTTTAAGCTTCACGTACGGGTCTGACAGACCGTTGGGATCCATCGGGACAAGATTCCTGGCCTCTTTGACTGCAGGGAGAAAGAGACAGAAATTGATGTATGGTTAAAATAAAAATAAAAAAATCGGAAAATATCAAGATGATCACAAATGAGTTCGTCAGATGCCAAGAGAACTGTGGAAAAATGAGTTTTTACTTTTGCAAATCAGCCACGAAAATGACTTACGAGCTTTCCATTTTCAACTTCTATTAAAACAATCAGATTTGGAGAAAGCCAATAACTGCCAACATCGACCGTTTACGTTTCCGTCACAGTGTCCAAATGTAATCACATGCAACATTAAACATCATTTAACAGTCTGTTTTGTGTACTCGTCGATTGTCTGGAAGAGAAAACAAAGTGGGATCATCGCCATGGATACAGACGATGACCTTTGCAGCCGTGTGTTCCTTGCCCACAATCTTTCCTTCAAAGAATTTCTGAAGTCATACAAAACTACATTTTGCGGACAAAAGTATTATCAAGACAGCCCTTGTGGCGTACAATGCAGACATTTACGCCTATCAGTCGATCATTCAAACATTTCTCTCCTGTATGCAACCTCATATTTAAAAAGCAACACAAAAGTAGCACATTTCAATAAACAGGTGATTCAAGAAGACGCAAGGAAGGAAAGGTTTGATTTGCCAGCGTGCGGGCAAAGCGGGATGTTGGACTACACTCTGAGAGGTGAACCACAGCATCGCCGGCCCCGATAGCCAGCATGAAACCCTCAGCGGAGCCGGCCAATAAATATTAGATGACGCCTGTTAAAGTGACCAGCAAATTCTGGCGATAAAGAGGGTAGCATGCCAAAGAGTCTCATAGGACTCTTGACAGTAAATAGAACGGGCGTCTGTGTGTGTCTTTATATGCTTGGCTGTTGTTTATTTTAATGCGTGTAATGGAAATGTGATTGCTCGTGTACTGCGGTATACAGTAAGTGCGCTAACTCGTGTATTTAAGTCTAGCTTAGATATCTATTTTACCACTGTGGAATAGAGAGAGGATTTTCCTTATTAGCTTAATGACAGGGCAGCCCGGTGATCCAGTGGTTAGCGTGCCAACTTCGACTAATTTTTTTTTTTGTAATGGGTCATTTCTGGGACAGCAATTAGATTATATTGCGTCCCTAATATTATGGCCGGCATGTATACGCCTAAAAGTGTGTTTTAATTCGTTTAAATGTGTGTCAAGTAGGGATACAGGACAGATATCAGGTACCGTATCGTATTGTTTTTAGGTATTGGGTTCTTTTAGAGGCTGCCGATAGCAGCCACAGATACTTCAGGCAAAGAAATTCTGGCCAGTATGCCCTCCTCAGCTGTAGTTGGCGCTATACTGCAGCAGTTTGACACATCGGCAAATCATCATCTGCATCATAAAGAAAGTTTTTTTGTTCAAAATATTTTGTCATTATGTTTAATGAAACTTTATATATCAGAAGTACTGGTAGAGGTATCAGTACTCCGTATCGATGCTTACTCATAGAATACTCGTATTGTATCAGTCTGAAAGAAAGTGGTATCGAACTGGTAGAGGTATCAGCAGTCCGTATCGATGCGTACTCAAAGAATACTCGTATTGGTATCAGTCTGAAAAATAGTGGTATCGAAGATCCCTCTTAAAATGCGATTGAAATAATAATATATGCACTTGATTCATCCTTCTGATGTCAGACTGCGTTACGAGTTGATGATCCCGCGACTTCTGCGGGTGTCATGGCAGCACCACGGAATGAGGATAACTTCCAAAGCCACAGTCGTAAGACCGCATTTCCCCTGCTGGTCTCCGCGTCCTTGAGCCAAACGCTCGACTCCCCTCCATGTCCGCGGATGCTGTTCTGCCACGACACTCAGCTTTGATCTCCCCGAGAGGCAAAAGAGTGACCTAAAAGTGATCAATAAAGTGTTACTTTGCACTCTTGCCTGCTGCTTTGAATTGAGCTACATGGCACTAATGCATTTCTCGGTGCAGCTGCCGTTTCCAGCAGTCTGCAATGTTGAGGTGCTCAGCCATTTCTGGTGCTTTTACAGCCGGTTCCCAGTCCTCTGCTCCCTATCTCACTGCAATGAGGGGTGGCAGCAGCTGGTGTGTACTTACTGACCCCTGTCGATGCAAATAAGTATTGCGACGCTGCAAACTGTGAGAAGGAATAAAGCAGAGGCGAGCCAACAAGGCCTTCTCTGCATTTGTTCCATCCATCCATCCATCCAAACCGCTTATTATATTCCATCAAATTATATTACTTGATTTTCGGGCGTTGCTCGTGGCTGCACAGTTTCAAGTATGTATGCACAATTTTCAGGACACATGCAATATTCCAATTCCCGACCCCGTAACATGAGTACCTGATGTTCATTCTTAACAGTGACGTATGAAGGTCTACCTGCTTGAATACTTCAAGAAGAGATTTTTATGCTGTGAATGTTCTAATTTGATCTTTCGAAGTGTTTCTAATAAATAGCTTGCTCACTCAGGTCAAGTAAATTCACCAAATACAGCTCCCAGCATGATGCAGTGCAGTTCTACATAAACGCAAATGATATCCACAACAGAAGACAGTGTTACATTGGAACATCTCACATGTAAATTAAATAACTATTTCATAAAACTACACAATGCTGTATTATATCGTTTTTATGGAACTATAGCAGAGAACAAGCATATCATAAACCTCTGCTGCCACCTAGAGGCTTTGCATGAGTGTAACATTTCCGTGAAGCTAACTTGGAGTATTGAGTCGGATGAGACATTTTACCGCTTGAGGGATTTCCTGTTAAAAATAGAATAAAGCACAAAAGAAAAAGGAAATGTCAAGTCGTGACTGCTTTCAGATTACATGGCTGCCTAACCTTAATACGCATTTTATACATGTTGGTAAATCTCCATTTATCTTATGTACTATAATGTTAACTGGGGCATGTTAAAATCACCATTCCTGTTCAACATATAACGCAGTACTGTCATGCATTAAAGACGTACACTTATTTGCATTGTGTTTGTATTGTCCATATATTGCCGTGCTGTTTGGAGATTGTGTGTTCGGCATGAAATACGTCAAATTAAATGGAGCGTTTCTGTTAACTGTAATACAATAACTCTACCACTAGAGGGAGACATAACACATTTAATAGCCATCCTTACTGGTAACGGTGAGCACGTTGGTCTTGATCTCAGCGCTGATGTAAATACGCCCTCTCCTCTCGGTATGGTCCGTTCCACACAGACTCGGCACGTTGGCCACACAGCGCTTATGGATGTTCATCATACAGTCTGAAAGAGACAATACAGATCAGTGATCCCGGACCTTCGGAGCGTCACGGACCGGTTGTGACAAGTACATGCTGTTCGAAGACCAGCCACCATTTTTTTTCATTGTTTTTAAATTGCCAGTTTTAAAGTACTAGAATAAAATAAAATAACACTGTGCACTATTAAGAAATGGAGCAATCGGGAATGGTAAATCCGCCTTATAATGCACCCATAATCATTTATGATCCCACACACGGCGTTAGTATCATTGCTACTTGCAAATGTGACTGATCATCTGACATGAATGGTGGAAAAAGCTTTGGAATGATTTCTTATTTTTTTAACATCACAAAAAAACTGTCATTTGGACAGTACAGACTTTTTTTAGCCACAATAGTACACTTGAGCAAATTAGGCATCAAGTAAATTTCAGAACATCGCATCATCATCATGTATGTGCTCCGTGTAATCATAACCAGACACAAGACTTGAAGAATTGTTTCTGTTTCTGTTCGTACGTACGGTCACATCTCATGCCCTGGTGAATGAGGCCATACAGGAGAGAGCCACAGTGGTCACAGAAAGTCGGACTGGAGTAGGTGTGGATCTTAAACTTGTGCTTCGCCCTCGGATCCTGCAGGCAGAGAGCAATGTCAACATTTAATATCAAAAGCTAGCATCCTTGTGCAGACTTTCACCAAATGTTCAAAATCAAGAACAGAGTATTTGAATCATCTTCTGGATTTTCTCAAGCGATAGAGCCAAGAAGCTGAGCCTCGAGTGGAAGTGGATGCACTGTACTTCAACCACTTGACTTAAAAAGTCATCAATTCCTCATAATGGGGACCATGTTCCAAATAAAAACGTGACCAATACGTCTGACTGATGATTAATAAAAAAAATGAGAAATGATCCAAATGCGCAATGCAAATGACAAGTGCGGTATACATGGGAACTTGGGTATCATTTCCTCTTTTAAGAACACCTGTAAGGCATAACTGGGGCAGAAAGTGGTTCTATTTCCGTCTGAAGAGTATGTACGAGAGAGCGAGAGAGCAAGAGAGAGACCCGCAACCATGGGCATCCACGCCCACATATGATGATTGAATGTTTTTCTTTGGCGCTTGCCACTCAAATTAATTGTGGCTATGTTATTAATGGAAATTGAATGCTCATTTAAAACACACACACACACACACACACACACACACACACACACACACACACACACACACACACACACACACACACAACTGCATAATCACTGACAACATATGGTAAATATGATGTGAGCAGGTGCATTGTCGAAGTTCCAATATGTCAAATATTGAACCAATCAACATACACCAGATCTTTTGTTTCCTTATACACCAGATGTCGCTAGCTAAGATTGCTATCTGGTGACCAAGGATGTCTGAGAGAACGAAAGTGACCGTTCGGTGCTGAACATGATTAAAAGGGACACATGGTACACTTTGGTGAAATCTTTTAGTTCTTTTAAGCCCCCGAAAAAATGCACATTGATTTCTTCCCATCCTCCTGGAAAATTGTGTTGAAATTAGACGGCTGCCGCCCGAATTCTACGCAGCCCCCACAAGGTTTGCTCACAAGTGTGTGTATGCGCTTCTTGTTATGCCTAAATGATTGTGCGGCTGCCTGTGATTTCCTTTGCGTGGGTGGAGAGGCGCATCTGGGCGTATTTTTGTCCGTCTTGATTCTCATCTCTTCTCAAGGGCGACTGTACCTCCTGCAAGTTTTTTTTTTTTCCCTCTGCAAAATGAAAAAGCGATGTTGTTGCAGTCGTATTGAAAGAAATAGCAGCCGTGCGCATAGCGACAGCAGGGAAGATCAAGATGAAAACATGAGTTACTTTGACTGACACATCCATTTGTCAAATTGGACTGAATGTAAATATGCGTACAAATATGCTACAGGCTTCACCGAACGTGCTCAGCACCCGTCCACTGCGCGACCAGAAAATGTCATTTTGTTTAGCAGGATTGCACAAAACATACTTTTTGAAAACAATTTACATCATTTTTTTGCAGGGTGTGCGGGGGGCAAGTTCGAACCCGTGAACCATCACTCAACTGTCTTGCATGGCCATGACAAATGTATTCAAACATGATGGGTCATGTACTCGCACAGATGAAGCCTATTACTATTTCAGCTGAGTGGATGCAACCCCGTGGACAAACGGACACTTTGCATATGCTGTGCTGCCCAGTCTCTAAGCATCAAGTCAGCTCATAACTTATGCACACAATTCAACAGTCACGTTTCACTAACGAGTGCTACAGGACCACCCACGCACTTTGCGACTTCTCATTGTGCACGCTCCGCTTTTGATCATTTTTTTGGCTAAACAAATTTTAGTGTGGCTGTAACTCCCCCGTTGCAAACTAGTTGACAACCTTGAGACGTCACACATATATCAGACTACTACGGTGGATAGGTTGGAATTTCGTTTCCCAGATGTACGCTTTTATCACTGAGGAACTATTGGAGGGCGGGGATGGGATACATATGCAGAATGTACAGTACAGACTTAGTTGGCGTTTTTTTTTTTCCTTTAACACTCACATTCCCCGCACAGCCCCAAGTAGCATTATCAGGCTGAGGACCTTGAATGTAGGTTTCATTAGAGCCTCATCTCATCCCTCGACTTGTCTCCAAGGACAAGTATTCTATTAACCCAGATCTATAATTGACTTCTTCTTTTAAACATAACATCGTTGCGAGACAGAGGAAAATGAGAGGAGGGGGTGGGGGCTCCGTACTGTTAAGTGGGTGACAACGTAACCGATGATGCGCAGTAAATTTTCAACAGCTGCAGTAATTGCGTTGCCCTTGACAAACAGTTGGCCTTGCCCCACAGAAAACCTCCGCCTCTTCAACCCCGAAGGGCGCACAAGTGATGAATCAATCTAATGCGGATCTTTACAGTGTTCGAAATATGCCGGTTGAAAGAGTTTTTCTTAAAATACTGTAAGTCAAGGATCAAGAATTATAGCATACTTTACAACGTCTATTTTATGTGTTGATGAAATGAGCCTGGTTTGAGGGCCTTGTGTCATGCCAGTGAGCCAGTGCTCACCCTGACTTTGCCATTGCTGTTAGTTTGTAAATGCCTTGAGGTGTTGTGCTTTTGGCTGTGTGAAGCACATTGAGTTACCTTGCGTATGAAATCTGCTAGTGTATAGAAACAAAATTGTCTCGCTTTGCCGTGCCTTTTTTCTTCTCAACGGGCAAGGAGGATTCCATTTTCGAACTCCCTCTCTCCTTGCATAGTCAGAGGAGCAGGCTACCTGTCTCCTCTGTTTAAATTTACATCAAGTTCAAAAAGGAAGCTAGCCTAGATTAGCCCAGCGTTGGAACTGAGGTCATAAGTCCACAAACTCATTAAGAAAATGACACGGTGGGGCTGGTGAGGCCCCGTAATTAAGAGCAGCCCGCCACCCCCTGCGGTGGACTGGCATTTAAATAGAATAGGTGGAGGCGACTGCAGAGCGGATGACAGTTGGAGAGCTATTCGGGTGCAGGTGATCTGCAGGTGATTGGCGGTTCTATTATCGCTGAAAACAGTTCAAGACAAAAGCAAACAACTCCAATCAGTGGCCAGGAGCATTTCAGCAAATGAAGCCCAAAACTGAAAAGCATTTGAGCATTTTCTCTCGGGGTGGGGGCGGGAGGTGAATAAGTGTACTTGTCAGACTGAAGGGTCCTCCTGAGGGAAGAAAGGACTTGGAAGTTAAAAGACCCTTCGGTTCTTGAAAGGATAAAGTTGACATTGATGAAAGCACTGTGAAGATGAGGAAGGGAACGCCTTAGCGTTCCCATCGGAAGTGCAAATGAGAAAGCCCGGCTACAACTTAAGAATCGAAATCAAAGAAAGGAGGCTACCTGTCAGCTCTTTCAAAGCCTACACTACTTTGTAATAAAAGTAACACTTAATAAGCACTTCCTGTAAGAGCGGCTCGAGGAGGCGAAAGCCATGATTAAGAATCTATTACGTCAGCTGGCTGGATTCATTTTGATGATGGAACAATGAACTCCATTACAAAGTAAAAAAAAAAACCCGTGAATTTATTGGGCGCCGCTAACAAAATGTCTCATAACCTTTGTGGATTCATATCGATCCACATCCTGAACTAATGAAACTCAATTTCACATTACAAGTCATTCGATCTTTCCAAGTTTGGGTAGATTTGCTCTTTGCAAGTCATAAACGATTACCGGGCATCAAAAGTAGGAGCAGTTTATCCCAAAGGTGTTTGATGGACCTTCCGCAAACTGTTCACAATAAATTGGATTAAAAAAAATTTTTTTTTTTTTTAATTGAAATTCATAATGCTCAGAATCTCTCAAGCGGAAGTCCTGAGTACTTTTTTTTAGTGTGTTGCACAACACAGAGGGTCACGATTTGATTATTTTTCAAACTCAGTCAGCCCTAGCTACGACTCGTCCACATGTCTTTGTCTTATATTCTGGTGGGCATTTACTGAAACAAAGACTGAACAACAAAAACAAAAAAAAAAAAACTTACTTTTCAGCTTACCTGTGGATGAACGGACAAGATTCACACGAGAAAGAAAAAGTGCTTTGACGTACACACAGCCCGAGTGTGTAAACAATCCACATTTCTTGCTGTTTTCTTAGTGTACCGGACACACGCAAATTCACACACACACGCCCGTTTGTGGGTCATACTCACATCTGATGCTGGACCTTTATCCGCTCCTGGGCAGGAGAACGTGACAAACTCATGGCAACGTTTGTGCACCACGAAACAGCAAACTGTGGGGAGAAAAAAAAAAGTTATTTAGTGAGTCAGTTTCGGTTGGCCCAAAATAATCAATCAAAGGGTCCGAGATAGGGTCTCCTCTATGACCGCCTATCGCTGATGGAAGCAGCACACCCACACATTTTTTTTAACTGTGTCAAATATATGTACATAGAATATTTTTTTTGGGGGGGGGTAATCGAGCCACTGAAGAAAAGGGGCAGGTCGCAACATGGCCAGCGGGCCGGACGTCGGAAAGCCCCGCTGTATTCGATACTCAGGAGGAGACTCGACAAGAGTGATGATGTGCGATGCTGTTAAATCTGCCATGTACCTCACTTATTAAACGGCTTCCAGTGGGAAATGTACAGAGGCGTCTGTCTTATTAACACCCACACACTCTCATTGTCAGCCCTGCGCCACTGAGCCATCGTCAGCCACTCCAGAGAAGTGCTTCTTGCGCGAGGCTGCAAATGCAATAGAAGATGTCGCGGCACTCCACTTCCTATTTTTTAACAGAAGAATGGTTATGAACAAAAACACTTTTTGTTTTGGCAAACTTTATTTGAGATATTTTTGAAAGTAAACACATTCTTCCAGATGTGTGGACGTGTAGACAACAGCTAGTGTTCCTGAAACGCATCAAAAGCCTCGATGCACGGCTGCCATCCATCCAGCCCGCCGTCCCCATCAAACTGATCAACGTCAGATCGGCTGGCAGGCGTGACGAGGCCGGTTGGCTAAAAATAAGCTTGCGCTCTGAGAATAGTCATAACGTGCTACAGTTACTCCACTACTTCCACTTTTCGGATAAAATTGTACTTGTTGGAGACACACGTTGAACTAGTGTACATTCCGCTGGCTACTTTAATGAGCACTTTAATTTAGCGGACAGACGAGCAAAAAGATCAGCTACGTCACACGCTATCATCCAAAGAATGTCTGCCAAATAAATGGCCACATTTCTGTCTACAAGAACCCCCTTTCAAAATTGAGAAAATGTGTGTGTGTGTGTGTGTGTGTGTGTGTGTGTGTGTGTGTGTGTGTGTGTGTGTGTGGAGATGGATAAATAGATAGCCAATAGTCATTCAACTCCCTGGTCATGAGGCGTTCCGATAGTTTTACGTAAGTGTGAATCACCCAGAAAAAGTGTTCATCGGTCGGGCGATCGCTCACTATGCTGAGGTTTGCCTTGGACATTTTCGAAGGATTGTTAAAAGCCAACAAAAACAAACACCCTTGGATCAGTTCTTTACAAAAAAACAAAAAAAAAAAAATAAAAAAAAAACAACAAGGATGCAGTTCAAAGTTACCACTTTATTATATGCGCTGTAAATACAAGTAGTAAACCACAGGGGGCAGTGTTGCGGCCAAAAGTCGTTACAGAGTGAAGCCTCTCAATGAGGGACGCACTTTGTCATACATAGTTTAAAATAGTGTTTGTGATTTTACCTAATAATAAAAAAAAATGTTTGCCAATGACACCGCCAGGTTTTATAACAATCAAGCTGGTCTCTTTAGGAATAAAGAGAGAGTGATACCCAACCCGCACTGATTGGTGGATATCATTAAAAAGCAAGTCTTTTCTTCATCTCGCTCCATCACACACACACGCACGCACGCACACACACACACACACACACACACACACACACACACACACACACACACACACACACACACACACACACACACACGCAGTCATGTGCACCTCAATGGTACTTGACTCCCACGCAATTTCCTCCTCTTTGGTCACACCTCCCCCTCAGTGATATGATACAACACACGTATCGGACCACCCACTCATCGCAGTCATATCGCAGATTGAATACACAAAGCGAGGGTGGAAGGAGGCAAGGAAGTAGGGAGGGGAAATGGAGAGCGCTCGACGCACATATTGCTTGGAGGCAACTGCTCTTTTGGAGGACCACTTCTGCCAAATCCTTTACCCAAACACAGATTGTATTGCAAAAAATAGAACCGCGCGCGGTACAACGAAAGGACCCTTGGGCCAAAACAAACCAAATATCATTATATAAATGTGCCATAACAAAGAAAAAAAAATGTACGGACTGGAATGTGGTTTAAATGCAAATCTTGGTTCATATGCAAACTACGAATGTTCGATTGGCTTCATAAATGTTCATGAAACCGAGTTAATAGTACACGAGCATGTGTTGACAGGAAGACAGATAGATTATGCTCCGGAATAATGTGACTTCCTGACCCCATGGTGCCCTCCTCCTCTGATCTGAGTCCGACATTCATTATTCATCATCGACATCAAATAGTCATGGGAAACACACAATATTTACACAACACACTCGTACCCACAAATATGCGTTTCATTTTGAGCGTATCGCAAGACCCGTTCGCGAAAGAAAAACGGCACAGTTTGCAAAATCTCCACTCACTCCAAATTTCACCCACAATATATTTTCTACAGAATAATTTTTAGCAAACTTTATTTATGGTGATGCCGATCATGAATACTGGCGTTCAAAATTGGCTCTCAGCCAGCGGGGGTGCATCGTGTTTCCATGACAGCTTCCAATATCCAGGATCAATTAACAATAAGGCAGCACAATATTGATCCCATTCCTTTACTGGAAGGTCAAAGTGGCTTTCGGTCTTTCATTTCTATCGCTGTTCATGTTTGGACTTGCTTATAAAGTCCGTTTCCGGGGAGGGAAGAAAACAGACCTCCGAAAACATTTTCATGGTCAACTTTTAAACTCACTGCACAACTCCTTCATGCCCAATATAACGACTGGGTTGTCCCCCACCAGCCGTACCGCCAAGTGTCTCGAGCAGCACGGCCGTCATCAATATTCACTTTATATTATTACATAATGCCCGGTTTGTCAATCAATATTAAAGTCCTGTTGCGCTCAAAGCGAACAGAGCTATGAAAAGTGAATGCAAACAACGTGGGGAAAAAAAAAAAAAAGTGTCTTTGGCACGAAGTACAAACGCCGAAGACACATCAGCTCATCTTTTAACCAAGAGCCCCATCGACTCAGCTATCAGCATTTAGCACAATTTCTCTCAAAATCCTCATTATTTGAAAATATTACGCAAGCAGAACTAGGATTGGGACTTTGTAACTGCTTGGCCAAATGTGAACTAAAACTTTATTAGCACGCTCAGATGGTGATTTCTGTTTTAATTGCTGCTGTCTCTGTATTTTTATTTTTTTTTCCATTGTCTCCTTTTTCCAAAGCTCCCATCATATTTCTTTCCTTTCTATCATCCCTATTCTGCTCCGCGTTTCTCATATATTCTCTCTATGAAATGTTGGCAGAAGACCAATGTTGCACAGCATTTTCCACTAATGAGCTGCCAGAATGTGCGTGTGCGTGTGTGCATGTGAAAGCGAGAGAGCGATGCCATGACATGGAGCCCGGTGATGGCCCAGATTTAGATGTCACGTCAATGCAAAACACACCAGCTTGTGTAGCTACAGTATGGATTATACAGTACCACCCTCACAACTGTCGCTGCGTCGCTATTTGAATTCAGACCTGCTGGAAATTTAGTTTTGCCGACCACAGTTAGGCAAAGGACAACAAACTTGTGAATGTAAGTCATGGGCTTTTTTTTTTTTTAAGTGTACGTAAATATCTTCACTAATTTTGAAGTACATTGCCAAATAATAATAATAATAAATAAATAAATGGTATCACTGATTTATGGCGCATTTCCTACCCAGCGTGACTCAATATCCTTCACACAGTGTTATGAAAAGTACATTTAAAAGCAGTCCCAGAGTTGAAGAGATTAAAAAAAGCAAAAAGTAAAGGAATTCAAAAAATAGCTGACTAAAATGATTAAAAGTATAAAAACAAGATTTTCCACAACATGATTTTAAAAATACTTTGAAAGAAGGATACCAGCTAAATTTGTGAAGCGGTGGTGGTTCACCATAGAATAAGTGGATTTTTATCTGGCTTTTAGAATCCAGTGTCGGGAGTTTTTTATTTATTTATTTATTTTTAGGTGGTGGAACAGATTAATCGCCTTTCAATTCATTTTAATGGGGAAAATGATTTGGATATATGTATAAATCGAGGTATCACCGAATAAGGTGGATTCAAGCCCAAATGGCTTCAAACACACCCAGGAACAGGTTCAACAGAAAAGTAACAGGATAAGATGATTCCTTCAACTTTTGGCTAACGCCTCAACATGACGACGGCCTCCACCAGATCTTTATCCGTGACTACAGTGCTTGGCAGCGTTTTGTTTTTTTTTTTGTTTTTTGTTTTTTTTTTTAAAGAAAGCGAGTGAGGAGATGAGACAGACTGCCGCTCACATGCTCTGCTCTTCTGACTGTCTCGCTGAAGAAAAACACTCCGGTGAGCAAGGTGGGTAGACACTGATACAAAAGCGGACAAGGAGCAGGGGTGATAAACGGGAGGTAGAAAGTCAATAGTCCAAACAAAATACGCCATTCTCCCTGGGTCTGGATGTGTGTGAGTGTGTGTGTGTGTGTGTGCGGGCTTATATAAGGGGGTTGAACAGCCTACGCCACAGTATAAATACCCACAATGCTTGTGAAGATGGGAGAAGGGTCAGAGTGATTCAGCACACCCCGATCATTGCCTCCTCTTTCCCTCCCTCACCGGAATCCACCCATCGTCTCTTCATCCTTCCATCCCAATCTCTGACATGGCAGCTCTCATTTCTTGCGTTATTTTCAAAAGGGAAATCACAGAGGACTCCACTTGGCAGGCTAACTGCGACCTCCGATCAAAGAAAATGCAACGACCGTAAACAAAAGAAACAACAACAACAAAAAATCGATAACAAGTGCACCATTTCGAGTCTTTGAGGCTTTCCGAAGAGCTCTGTCTTGCTTTGACGGCGGCTCTATTGACGCCCAATGGTACAGACTCGCTTGATTTCTGTCCTTCGATGACCTGCCGTTCTTAAAAGCGTGACTTTCTGCATCACGGCGGGCCGGCGATTTCCAATCGATTGAGAGCAGCAATATTATGCAAGCGATTCATCT